CCTGGGTTAGATAGTGACATTAACCTTGGGACCTCTAACTGCCCAATATGGGGAGGGGAGTCACATGAGTAATCTAGGCGGAAACAAACTTAAGTATCGAGATCAGTTTCAGTTTGATCTTTCATTTTCGTAAGTCCCTAAACAGTATTTGATTTGAGTCCTGAGATGTTTCTGAATAATCAATAAGACACAGCTCTACAGCTGTAGTTAGATTAAATACATCCACATATAGTTCATTCAGCTCTTTTTTATATTCTACTGGGCGGTTGGTTAGCCTGATGGCTGAAACGTTCGCTCGTCACGAAGAAGACCCAGGTTCGATTCTCCACATGAGTACAATGTATAAAGTCTATTTCTGGTCTCTCCCATCGTGATATTGATATGATATGATATCAAATCGCATCACATCATATTCCGGTCTTTTCAGCATTCATATACTGCTCACAAAAAGTAGCGGGTACTGAAGTTAAACACAGGGGCAAAGACACAGGAATAAAGATTCCTCCGATTACTTTAAGTATGTTTGAGTATAACCATTGGTCCACCTTAGCATGTTGCACGGTGACCACCAGGTGTCCATAGATCCGAAAACATTGAACTCAAACGCACCAGGGGGTGGGTATGAAACATCCCACCATGTTTCACACGTGCAAGTGGCAAAATGCAAGGTTTGCTTTCCATGTGGGGTTAAGACCATGGCCATCCACCATTTCACCACTTTCCACCATGCGAAGATTACGAGAAGACGAAAGATTGAGAGCCATAGGAATGCTCCAGGCCGGAAGAACACAAGCCCACACAGCAGCACAACCGGGTGTCTCGCAGTCTGTAGTCAGCAGGTCGTGGGCACGTTACACAGCCACTGGAAGAGTCCAGGATAGGCCTCGAAGTGGTCGCCTAGGATGTACCACAAGACGCGATGACCGGCGGATCATCACTGGAGCCCTCCGTGATCGACGAAAAATGCGACACAGCTGCAGCAAGTACACAGACAGGCCACTGGGAGCCGCATCTCTTTATTACCCACGTGGTCAACGTATGGGTAGTTGCATTATTAATCTCGTACGTCACACGAGTGTCGTATCGCGTTGACCTGTGTCGTAACGACTTGACCTGAAATTCTAACGATTTGATTGGATAACCGATGACCTCTCAATTAGGTCACATTCTGACGTTACTATTTTTTCATTCATAACAAACACGTGAATTCATTCATTCTACAACTTAAATGCATTGTGGAATGTAAACATTGCGAACGTTGCCGTGTCGCTGTTTAATTGTGAGCTGAACTCAGACATTATATCCGTCGAAAAACATAAACGCAATGTTTCCACCAGTGATGTTAGCCGAATGAAGCAACTGGAAACCAAGAAACGAGGTGCAACGGAGTAGTTTACTGTAGGAGGCTGTACGAGGCGATTACAACTGACATGCATCGTGACGTCGGTTACCATGTCAGTGACGTCATTAGTGTGACGTCATGCAAATATTGTACTACAGTACAAAACTCTTCCGCAACCTCTTTATGAAACCGGTTTCGGTTTGAAACCAAAAACATAACAAAAATACGCTATTTTGTCAATTTAAATGCATGTAAGACGTAGGTAATAAATAATATACACATTCGGTTCATACATACGAATTATACGAACTCGTGACCTTCCTATAGTTATTCGACTCGCTTTCGCTCGGTCAGATACCATAGGAAGGACACTGCTCTGTATAATTCGTATGTAATGAGACCTCGTGTAGTATTCTCTATATACGGAACCGTCTCCATGCTGCACACCTTCGAGCAAGGCGACGTTTCATCCCGTTGCCAGCGGTGGAACAATGCCCGGTGGTCCCATGTGGTGTTCGTCGATGAGTCACGGTTCACCTTGGACTTCAGTGACGGACGTCATCGTGTCTGGCAGACGCCCTGGTGAACGCCACCAGGCAGTCGCCATGATTCCTCATGATCGATATGGAAGGGGGTCTGTAAGGTGTGGGATGGAATCATGATGACGTGCAGGACTGATCTCCACATCTGCCAAGGGAGAGTCACCGCTGTCTACTACCGTGACCACATCATCACGCCACACGTCCTGCCGTGTGCACCCCGCCACGGGCAAGGTTTTATTTTCCATAATGATAACGCCAGGGCTCACCGTGCTCGCGTTGTCATTGATCATCTCTGGCAGAACCAAATCCAAACTCTTCCATGGCCAGCGATGTCCCCCGATCTCTCACCCATTTAACATCTGTGGGATATGCTCGTACGACGAGTGGAGGGGCGGCACCCTAGATTTGGCAGAACTGGGCGTGGCACTTCAAGAGGAATGGCAGAGGATTCCTCAAGTTGACATTGGTGACCTCATTAGGAGTATGAGACGTCGATGCCATGCTTGTTAAGCAACTAATGGTGGGCCCGCCCGTTATTGACAGGTTTGTGACATTTGGGTTATCACCCCTTAAGAACTTCGCAATATCCACAAAGAACATCGGCATTGTTATCAAGTTAATTGGTTGACAACTGATGCTAGACATCCCTATTTCCACATGAACATTGTTTTCAAATGACAATTGAACATACGTTTGCTTTTATTAGTCTCAACTTTTCAATATCCCCTACTTTTTGTGAGCAGTATATTCCACAGTATCCACAACAGTATTCAAACTGAAACATACATGTTCATGTCCTAGCCCTCTCTCAAACACTTGTTAACTGACAACACATGTTCTTTCAGAGGACGTTACCTCGAGTGTAACCTGTACATTTAGTTCACATCATGTGAAATCTCATTAGTTATGACTTCCGACTGCAGTCACCGCTCAGCAACACAAATATAAGATCATCCCAGATTCAACACACACGTTGCCTTGACTGACAAGCGAGGATACCTTCACAGACTTACCAGGTCCAAGGGAGGGTTATTATGCTACTTCTTATAATGCTCAGAACGTCTTTCATGTAACGGGACTTTTTTTTCCCTTTATTGTAGTTGACAATTCCTGTGAACTATATGTGATTATTATTTTTAGATTCTTGTCATATATATTTATATATACATACACTGAGCGACACTAAAACGCGGAAGGCAGTTGTAGATTAGAACAAACGATTGAGTACTGCAAACATTATCTATTACGTGTTTTGTCCCTCGCTATACAGCTGCAGAGGTGACCGCAAGCCGAACTGACTCCTCCCTTGTTACTTGTCCTTAGTACAAACACAGTACAACAAAACAATTAAAACGTTTGAGTACAAAACAATAAATACTGTGAAGGAAAGTAATAATGGCAGTGATTATCAATAAGAAAATCTAATTTATCTGGGTATAATTTCTCCATGTTCATATCTTTGTCACATTTATATGGTTGTATTGTTAACTTATGCTGCGAGTGTAATAGGTTCAAATTGTTTGATGAGCTACAGATTAGGAAACACACGTCATATAACAGTAGTCCTTCCATACACAACAACAGCCAATGACATAACATATTTACAGTGCAATGAAAGAACAGATAACATCAGAGGTGGGTGACAACGTCAACACGATGGCTAGATATATGAAGGGTGAGAAGGTAAATCTACACAAGCTGGATCCATTCTTCGATGTCATTTCGTGGATGTTGGCATCTGAAAGCATATTTTGTTCTCCATCAGTACAGATACAACACACATACATTTTCCACTGCATTCTCTTTGTACGTTTGAAAACAGATATGAAACATATTCAACGTTCGCCAAAGGCAGCAATGATATCAACAACTAAACTACCAGGGGAAAAGAATGTGGAGACCTTACATGCTGTACCTGTCCAAGGTATAAAATATAAAAATACATTGTCATGTAGCCAAGATGAAAGGCTCATCTTTAAGTACATATCAAGTTCATACATACATACATATTCTGGACTTAGAGTCCTATTCAACAACCATCGTCACCTGATCTGAATGGGCACCGTTACACAAGGAATGCTGAAAGTAAGGCTTCGTACCTGTGTGACTTTCCTTCTGAGTTACATGGAGACATGTCGTGTCGGGCAGCTTGTGATGCAGACAGGATTGAGTGCACACCCTCCTACATCTACATCCTCCCTCTGCCTCCAGGCACCCGATACAGTCAGCATCACAATATGTTCCACACCTGTCCCCATGGTAACCGAGCTGACATCTACTGCAGCGACCATCTGGTCCGCATGTCCTATTTAAACACGTGTCACTACATGGTCTAGTGCAGTCAGATCCCCAGTAGCCTGGCTTGCATCTGGAACATTCCCCTGTCTCCTGAGAACATGCCTCGCAGTTATCAGGACACTTCATCTTGCAGTCGAGGGACATCCAGCCGTCCACACAGCCCTGTCTACAGAGTGTAGACTTCATACCGTGGTCATAGAAACAGTCCTGATGTCTACGGTGTCTGTTACACTGCTTGTCACAGTGATGTCCGTGAACACCGTGTTTACATCCTTGTGTGCACTTATGGCTGCCGTACCTCTCACATGTGTCACCGTGACACCCCTGGACACCTGGTGTCACAACTGTCACCGGCCCAACCATCCGTGCATCCTCTAGCACACACGACCCGTCCCAGAAGTAGCAGGAGTTGTCTTCACATCCACCACGGCACTTCCTCTCACACCAGTCTCCCCACCAGCCGTCTTGACAGTTTTCCAGACAGTGCCCTGCCTCCCGACTACAGTGGGGCTTGTCACCGTGACTGTATCTACAGTTGGGGGGACATGTCACGTTACAGGTGTGAGAGAAGTAGCCGGCTCGGCACTGTTTACATATCCCGGTGTCCCTGTGACAGCCGCCGCTGTCGCAGAAGGAACAGTTGAAGTTACAGACATCACCATACCATCCTATCTCGCAGGCAGGGCAGGGGTTTGACACAGACGGCCAGAGGCAATGGGACGCTCAGGTATACCTGAAACTGTAAAGTGTTCAATGGGATATAGATATATAGATACAAATAGAAATAGATATATCCTCAAAAGTATAAAAGTGCTTACCTGAACATAGCAGCTGTAGTAGAAGAGTTACTGTTGACATGATCAAGGTCATTTCGTCCTAGAATGAAAAAAGGATCATCATCATCATCATCATCATCATCATCATCATCATCTCCTATATTACTTGAATTTTAAGAACAAATTTCCGCAATTACCTTGCCTTCTTTTTTCGTTGATTAGAATTGGTCCGTCCAATATATAGGCAGTGAGACAATGATCAAGGGAAATCACCACTTCGTCCCAAGTACCCACGATGCTAAATTATCTGTTGTGATTCATATTCCTGTAAGCGTCAACTTTGCATGGGGATATCTTGTATATAGTTACTATGTCAATGATAGTGTCCTTATAACTTATCAGCAGTTGTAATCAACTCAAAGCTTCCGTGTTGTTTTCCGAGGAGAAGGTAATCCCTGAGACGCACGTCAATCCAAGTGCCCCGGAGATACAACGAAGGGTGTTTGGAAGTTGATGTAGCACTGACTAAACAAATAACAGTGCTGTTGACTGCAAGTGTCAGCAGGAATTATAAGCTTAGTCATTACAAGGTAATTAAGCTGAGTATGGGGTCAGTTAACGATCGAATTAATGTTGTGTTGTCCATGTATCAATACTTTTCACGAAAACAATTACATTCATACACAATCCTCTCTACTGAGATATATTTTCGTTCATGATATAGAAAATATTCCGTCAAACCACCCACCCACCACGCCCAAGTATATTTGCCCTCATTTATGAAACAAAAGGTTTCTAAAAGATTATGTCACGTTTTGTTGATGGTGTAGATTAATGCAATCAAGGTATGCAACAGGGACTTTAGCCCTTCTGACCCCAAGCTTGTCAGAGCAGACATGTGCTTGGTGTCTATATCTGTTACACTGTTATCTCACCTGTATCTACAAAACAGACCAGGGCCCACTTGCACAAAGCGATCTTAGTGCTACAACGCTCGAAACTCACATACTGTAAAATAGATCTAAGATGGTCATAGCGCTAGATCTTTGTGCAAGTGGCCCCAGGTATGTCCTCACAAAGATCGATAAGTGGATAGAGCTTGATAACACTATTTACTTAAGGGCTTGTATCGTGCATGTTACGCAAAGAAACGACAACATAGGGGGCATGCATATAAGTAATCGTAGCTTCATCAGTGACATGAATCTTTGTAAGTTTAATTTGTTCGTGTAGCAATCAATATCTGGGATTATTCACCCAGGATATTCACAGTGTATAAGATAGATGTGCAAACGTATATATATTTGGTTTCCAACGAAATGCAATATCAATCAGGAAGTAGGTATTCATTGCAGATATTTTAGGAAATACAGTACGTATGTTACACAATATGTTGTACAAATATGTGCGTGTGTTTAAAGGATGTTCAAGTCATATCAGAGGGACGCAACGATTTGGTCCGCTTATTGTTTAAAGCCACACTCAACAATATTCCAGCTATATGGAAGTAGTCTGTAAATAATCGAGTCTGGATCGGACAAGCCTGTGATTAACAGCATGAGCATCGATCTATACAATTAGGATACGACGACATGTGTCAACCAAGTCAGCGAGCCTGACCACACCGATCCCATTAGTCGCCTCTTACGACAAACATGGGTTGCTGAAGATCAATTCTAACCCGGATCTTCACGGGTCGAGGACGCTAAGAAGCGGTCTCAAATATACTCCCCATCAATAGTTTAGACTCACTAGTGTAAATGCGTAGCCACTTACTTCAGTCAACTGTTCTGAACTAGATTTTGTAAAATAATCCATACAGTTTAAAGGTACTGTTTATAAATGAGCTGGTGTATTGTAAAACAAATTCGTGACGTTGAAAAGTTTATTGGCATCTGTTCAGTAAATGATGAAACTCGGTGAAAAATGGCGATTTTTATCAAAACTTTACACCAAAACGCAGCTGTTCACATGCACGATATTTGCACATGCTTTTCAGCAATTTGATGCATGATCCTCGTGCAATTAATCTGCATAAGGTTTGCAGATGTTTCCCCCAAGTTAGTGGAGAAATTCATCTTCGTTGTAACCATATGTACATACATAACTTATAGTGATTGATTTAAGCGAGTCTAAACTTTTGATGGGTAGTATAGTATAGAGTAATACATATAAGTATAAATAGTGCGTCACTAAGACTAATGCTTCCGTCTATATCCTACTGCCTATTTAAATAAATACAAATACTGTTGAATGACATTCATTTGATGACATGTTCTGTCTGTACTGACGTTGAACACTGTACACAATTATGACGTTGTTCTCAACATTCGACTATTATCCTGAACTTGTCACACAGTTACCAGGCATATCTGCTTATAGTCGACAGACGTCCATCCACACAACCATGTCTGCAGACTTCATACTGTCATAGACACAGTCCTGGGTGTCCTTGTCGAAATACCTCTAGCTCTACGACTGTCGTAAGTGTATGTTACTAGTGTAGTATTAGGGTTACAAAAGAACCTTACCTATCTCACAAATATACCAAAAAAGTTCGTAACAAATGCATGTAGTTATGTATTTGACTAATACGCATCATGTATCTGTGATGGTGCGTTCAAATCCCCAAGTGGACAGTATGTTCTACCACCGTCTTAACGTGCGTCATAACTTCATCTCGCAGGTCATGTCATGGCATTTAGTGGAATCATAGAGACGTATTTCAGAAAGACATAGAATCTGCTTGCTCCAATCAAAACGGGTCACTGGTAGCCAGTCTGTATTATGAACCTTGGGTTGATATCACCCATGCTTTTCGTCAACGTGGTCATGTGTTCCTTGTTGAGACTTTCACCTCTCCTCCCCTCTGTCACTAACACGTTGTAATATAACTGGTGTTGAAACATCTTAATATCAATGTGCAAGAAGGATTTTAGCCCGAATATGAATAAATGAATACAAAAATGACTGTGAGCATAGTCCAAATTTAATTACAAAATATATTTTCACAATGAGTATTGACGATACCACCTAAACACAAGGCTGTGTAAACTGTTGTGAAATCGGACAATACTTCCTGGACTATGCGTTACTTCGTGTCACCATCAGCTGAGCAATCTCGTCCTTTCATAGCTCCGTGTAATGAAGGGGAAACAACTCCAACGTCTTAGTGACATGTGTGTGTTGTATACAACATGTATTTCACAGACGGACATGATATGAATGATTGTTATATAACGAAATGGTTCCCTTCTATCATTTCACTTCGATGTTGATATGTAGTTGTTCGGGTTATCGTTGTTCATGACTCCGCTACAGTAGAAAACATTTTGATGAAAATATTGTTAAACTACAAACAACCCATTAACAACTAGGTGCAAAACACGCAGGGACATTCATTGCATAACATTGTTACCTTGTGTTTTGTGTTCTTTTTAACCAACACAAAATATATCCTCGTAATTTTAAAATGTTTCAAATGAGCACTTTTATGGATTGTACTTGATTTCCATATGTTTATTCATTGTTATTATTTGTTGTAGAAGCATCATAAACGACTACAACTGGTCACCTAGAGCCAGGTTATCCGGCGTGAAACACACCTACATATATTCATTATACTGGCCACTGACAAACCATGCCTCGATAAAACCTGTCACCGTTTAAGGATTCTGTTCGTACTTGACACCATTACAAATGTATGGACCGGTTTGGCACCAACATATGGGTTTATAATAGGGACGAGTATTTCTTCCATGGGTACGTCATGATATTGTCTTGTATTTACAGTTCGTAAATCTGCTACGTCTGAGGCGTGAAAGTTTTACAAACACGTTTATCCCATCACAAAAGAAAACCCAATTTGTTATCATATCGCCTCGGATCAAAGACACATATTAACTTGAAATACGTGGGAAATAACTCAGTGACGACCACTAACGTGTTTCACTTGCCTGTATTTCTACTCACTGACTAATATGTAGTGTTGTCAATTACCGACACGAGGTACATATCCCTTAAAGTTCTGAGCTGAAATACAAGGGAAATAACTCTGTTTCACCTGCCTGTATTTCTACTCCCTGACTAATATGTAGTGTTGTCATTTACCGACACGAGGTACATATACCTAAAGTTCTGAGCTGCAATACAAGGGAAATAACTCTGTTTCACTTGCCTGCATTTCTACTCACTGACTAATATGTAGTGTTGTCATTTACCGACACGAGGTACATATACCTAAAGTTCTGAGCTGCAATACAAGGGAAATAACTCTGTTTCACTTGCCTGCATTTCTACTCACTGACTAATATGTAGTGTTGTCATTTACCGACTCCACTTACCTATACCCAGGGATACTCTACAACACGTAGACAGACAGACACACAAACGTCAGCGGTGGTCCTATAAATGTACCCTTATGAGAAGTTTGAGTTGAGCTTTCCTACTCACAGTGCATTTGGCTCTACTTTGAAAAATACAGCCGCAGAAAGAACTACAGTCGCCACCTTACCAGCGTTTACAACTAGCTATACAAACCCATGATGAGGATGGCCAGAGACAATGGTTATAAGACAAGACGGCATGTAAACTGAAAACTGTTAACGACATGGAGTGAGTTAGGGTGAAGTCACCCCAACTTCGCCTCAGCCCCTACCTCGCTCGCTTGATCAGTCAGTCCAAAATGTATCCTTATGTTAACCCTTTGCAGCATGCAAAACTGGACCTTGCTTCTATTGAGGTTTTATATAGCCAATTGTTATAAATTACCATAATTTTGTCTGTAGGCGTGTATGGAAGACGGAACAGGGCGAACGTTGGCCAGTTGTATTACAGTAAGTTTTTAATCAAATCATAAGTCTGTAAATAGCGTATCGTTTAGTTTGTATTGCGTAGATTCTAAAATGTGTGAGAAATTACAGATGTAAGTATCACAGTTGGGTTTGAAATAAATGAGATGTAACATGGCAAGCATAGCTGACATATAAGTGTATATTGTAAACAGAGCCCACTATGAGGGAACATTCACCTCATGTTTGGAGGTATTTTGAAAGATTCTAAAACGATTCTACGCTATGGCGAAGTTTACGTTTACCATTGGCGACGCTTACCGTTGAATTTTAATAATATGTGATTGCATTCTTCGAAAAAAGCCGAAAACAACGGAGTGAATGGTAACTTGGTAATAATTATGCCAAAAGAAGCGATATCTGTGATGTTTTCAAAGGTCGTTTTCAAACAATTTGTTTCGCCTATAATGGCACTGAGTCATATCACAGAAAATAGATGTGTATATGTGTGTGGTGACATATTAAACATATATATTCCATTTAAATTCATTAGTGGACATATGTCTTCCTTTGGCATAACTAAGATATTCCTTGCAACTAGCAAAACTGATTATTTTATATGTACCGTTCATATTTCATTTGTATTTTCACTGATACCAGGATGAACTCAACATGTTGAGCACCTTCTCCATACTTCCTGCCTCGAGTTGGGTCATTGTTTAACAGTCTGTGGAGAATGTTGACGTTGACGTACACGTCTGTGGATTTCATTCAAAGGAAGCTCTGTCGGTTTCAGATCAGAGATCTTGAATACCGTGGCCAATTGTGCCGGTTATGTCATGAGTCAAGTCAACAAGATTACGAGCTGTGTGTGGTGTGTATTTGTGTCATGAGTCAAGTCAACAAAATACAGGTGTGTGTGGTGTGTATTTGTGTCATGAGTCAAGTCAACAAGATACGAGCTGTGTGTGGGTGTGTATTTGTGTCATGCTACTATAGCTCCCTCTATCACTTGAAGATCGGAAGATGGAGACGCTGATAACGTGCTCGTTTACCCTTTTGATATCAGTTTCCCTGAACCACCACCCGTATCAAATTCCCTGTGTAGGATATGGCTGCCCACATCATCCACTTTCTACACATTCTCCAACAAATTATTTGTCGAACGCAGAACGTTCCATCTCGGCGTTGGAGAAGAAGTCAATACAGGGACAAATACCGAGGACTTATGGGTCTAATGTCCACCTCTTATCAAGAGTTTGGTCGATACTCTCCTCAAACCAGGGTCAGCAGTAGCATGTAGCACTCTTTAACCACCGCTTTCTCGGACAATCTTGGGGTTGATCCATATCTGAACATGTCTATATAACATACGATATGACCTGATTATACAATATATTACCCATTTAGATGATGTTTTAATGGCGAAAACACTCATCTCTTAGTTTTTGGCCCATGGCCAGTATGTCCAGCTCAGGTTTTGCTTTTGCAACCCCTTAATTATGCTGGCTTTCCAACTGACAAGGCCACACAGCATATGCCGCCATAAATCGAGTGCAGGTGGGAAATCTGTAACCGTGAAGTGATAGTGCTAGATCTACTTAGAAGGTTCCCCTCGAGGTTCCCCTCAAGTAGATCTGGCGCTGTCATGTCCTGCATGGCTCGACGTATTCAACTCTACTGCTTTGTTTTGAAGTAGCTTCCCGCAATTTATTGCTTGTCCACGCATATCGTAATTCTTTCACTGATGGCGAGTTGTCGGAAACCTAGGATGTGTTAAGACGCCAATTATATTGGGAATCAGCTTTCTTCCAGCCCACACATAAAACAAGGCCTGAGCAATTAAAGGAATTTAATAATGCTCAGAACCGATGCATAATATCACGGAAGTTTCTTTTTCCTTTATTGTAGTATATTCTTGTCGTATATCTGTACATATGCCGGTGTACTTTCAATGAACACAGACACACGCCACACTTTTACACACAGAAGCACACACACACACTGAGCGACACTAAAACGGGGGAAGGTGGTTGCAGATGAGAGGGCGATTGAGTACCGCAAACGAACTATCTATTACGCGTTATGTCCCTCGCTATACGGCTGAGGTGCTGCAGAGGTGACCTTTACCTTAGGCTGACCAGCTCCTTCCCTGTTTGTCTCGAGTACAAACCTGCGGTACAACAAGATAATTCTGCATTTTTTCGCCATTTTCATATCTTTTCATATTTATATGGGTGTATTGTTAGCCCCTAATCCTGCGAGTGTAATAAGGACAAATTGTTGACGAGATACGGATTAAGAGAGCACACGCCATATAACACTAGTTCTTCCATACACAACAGTATCAATAACATATGAATATTTACAGTACAATGAATGAATAGATGAGGCATCCAGCGAGGTGGGTGAAAAGAATTCGGCTTTTGATTATAACACATATATAGAGAGAGACCCCGATGGAGTAAATCAAAAAGCTGGATCCATTCCTCGATGTCATTTCGTGGATGTTGTCATCTGAAGCATAATTTGTTCCTCCATCAGTACAGATACAATAAACACGTCACAATTTAATTCTGGACTCTAAAAGTCAAAACTCCTCCGCACCGTGGACACTGGACAACGGATTTCGACAAATTCAAGCATGCAGTTATTTATGAATATATACTAAGGATGAAACAAATTTAAAATTGTTTTCTGAGGCCTCAAAATTGAAACTCGGCATGGGCAGAATGTTTACTTTTCATGCAGGGTCATGTTTTGGAGGTTGCAGGCATATGAGTGTATGTTTATAAGCATCATGACACAATTTCAACTCATTTTGGCTTAATTCGGCTAATTTAGAGCGATATTAAAATATCTCGCCCATGGGCTGGAGAAAACCCGCCAACAGCAGCAATGATATCAACAATTACTGATCCCATAGCAGACTTCTGGGGAAAGAATGGAGACCTCAAATACATGTTCTACTTCTGTCAAGGTATAATATATAAAACTATTGTTAATATGTAAGTCGTATAGCCATGATTTGAGGGAAACATCTTTAAGTACATATCAAGTCAAATGTCAGAGACTTCTGGACTTAGAGTGCTATTCAGTAACAATCGTCACCTAGTGATCTGATTGGGCACGGTTACACAAGAGGTGCTGAAGGTGGGCTTCGTACCTGTGTGACTTTTCCTTCGGTTACCGTGGGCGCCATCGTGTCGGGTAGCATGTGATGCAGACGGGATGGAGTGCACGCCCACTACCATCTACATCCTCCCTCTTATCCCAGGCACCCGATACGATCAGCATCACAATATGTTTCACGCCTGTCCCCCGCGCAGGCCTTTAACCGAGGCTGGCATCTGCTGCATCGACCATCTGGTCCACATGTCCTATTTAAACACGTGTCACTACATGATTAGTGCAGTCAGATCCACGAAATAGCCTGGCTTGCATCTGGAGTACATTCCCAGTCTCTTGAACATGCCTCACAGTCTGCAGGACACCTCATCTTGCGGTCGAAAGACATCAGCCATCCGCAGCCCTGTTTGCAGACGTGGGGCTTCATACCGTGAATTTGGCGAGAAACAGTCCCTGATCATCTACAGTGTCTGTTACACTGCTTGTAAACTGATGTCCGTAGACACCGTGTTTACATCCTTGTGTGCACTTATGGCTTGCCATTACCCCCTCTCACATGTCACCGTGACACCCCATAGACACCTGAATTAAATGCAACTGTCACCAGCCCAGCCATCCTGCATCCTCTAGCGCGACCGTCCCAAGTAGCAGGGTTGTGTCTTCCACATCCGCACGGCACTTCCTCTCCTGCCGAGTCTCCCCACAGCCGTCTGGCAGTTTTCTACAACCAGAAATTATTGAGAATTTAAAGATTGTAATTTTTTATTTTTTCACTCATTACTCACGTATTAAATGTGAATATTAGCAGAACATAACTCAGATTCAAAGACAAGGTGAACAGTTAGTATTTTGTCAAGTCACCATGGGCAGCAATGCAGGCTTCAATGCGGCGGGGCATACTACTGATCAAAGAAGTTAGAAAGTCGTGGTCCATGCTGTCCCAATATCGGACCACCTCTTCTTTCATTTCAGCAATATTTGTCAGATTTTTCTTATTGACACTTTCCTTCATATAAGTCCCAAACATTTTCTATTGGATTTAGGTCAGGGCTATAAGCTTGGCCAATCTAATAATGTCATATTTTGGGTCGAAACCAGGCCTGTGAATGCTTTGAACGATGTTTTGGGTCGTTGTCCTGCTGGAAAATCAAAACATTTCCATAGAACACGTGAGCAGATGGAAGTAAATGTCCCTCGAGAATATCTGTGTACCGCTCACTGTTCATATTCCCTTCAAATACACAGAGGGGCGTTGCCCTAACACGAGATATGCCACCCCACGTTAAATTTCGGACTGTACTTTGGGCGCTGATACAAAGGTTTTTCAGTTTGTTTGGTCCAGAATTTCAGTGTATTAGGAAACAGCCACACAGAACTTTCATCTGAGAAAATCACATTGTCCCAGTTAAAATTTCTATGCTGTAAGCACCAGTTCAACCTTCGCTCCTTTTGTTTCAGGTTTCATGATCGGTGATGGAATTCCTCGACTTTTCTGCCAACCCATTGCATGCAGCTCAGTTCTAATTGTCTCCTTACAGACAGCCACAGTTCCTCTATCAATCATATCCAGCCTTAAGTTTCTAAACTCCTTCGTTTGTTTTTAGAAACAAGAATACCAAGCCGCCTCCTGTCACCGACAGTCAATTTTCTGGGCCTACCTGCGCCTCCCTGGTGCTCAATGCCATATCCATTTGCAATATTTTTCAAAACACGATAAACAGTGGACAAAGGGATGCCTGTTCTACTTGAAATCACTTTAGCTGATCTGATGTCCTTGTTATAATACTCTAAAATCAACTTCCTCTTCTCTAAATCATCCATACTGAGGATCACTGAAAATGTCGTCTGCTAGCAAGTAAACAAAGGGGGATAACTCTTCACAAACTAATGAAAAAGGATTAACGGAGTTGTCTCTCTTGAATGAAACCAAGCACTTGATAGCTGGTCAAGGTTGTTTATACTAGAAATCCAATTAAACATATTCCTAAAATTCTCAATAATTTCTGGTCATACTATAGTTACTAGAGCTCTATATGTCAAAGATTGTGTCATGAAGTAACCTTATAACTTATCAGTTGTAATCAACCCAGCTTCAATGTTTGTTTTCAAGAAGAAACCCCTGGGACACCGTCGAGCCGCGTCCCTGAGGATACAACGAAGGGTGTTTGGAGATTGCTGCAGGACTGACTAAACAAATAGCAAGTGCACTGTTGATTGCAAGTGTCAGCAGGAATTATAAGTCATTACAAAGGTGAGTGTTAAGTTGGAGTGCAGGTCTTGTAGACCATCTAATTAATGTCCATTTAGCCAATGCTTTTCGACGTACGTTCTGCACGAACTGCTCTACGATAT